CAGAACATGAGGCTAGGCAGCTATACAGGACTGATACCAAAATTGTGCTGTTCTGCTGCTCTAGTGGAGACCCTACTGGTAACCCCACTGTGGAAAAGTGAACTTCCGCTCTCACCACTGACATTGGACACTGAACAAGAACGTGATCACTAGTACCTCTAGTCCCACTGCCCTTGGAAGCTGGTGTTTTGTTGTTGGTGGTGGTGGTTGTTTTTTAAAATTTTTATTTATTTTTTAAAAATATACTTTTATTGATTTCAGACAGGAAGGGAGAGAGACAGAGATAGAAACATCAACGATGAGAGAGAATCATTGATCAGCTGCCTCCTCCATGCCCCCCTCACTGGGGATCAAGCCCACAACCCAGGCATGTGCCCTTGACCAGAATTGAACCCAGGACCCTTCAGTCTTCAGGCCAATGCTCTAACCACTGTGCAAAACCGGCTAGGGCTTATTTTTTAATTTTTTTTTCTTCCAGAATAGATTGAAATCTCATTCAGTTGTGGAACTGGAGTACCAGTATATACCTAGCCATATGGGACCTAAGAAGCTGAGTTTTTCACTTCTACCTTAGGGATGAACTCATAAGATGGTGAGAATCCTCAAACATAAAAATGGTAGTCAAAGGTTATATTATCTTACCAATTTGGTTTACTACCTAAAACACATAACACTCAATAAATACCTATTAATTTATTACCTTTCAGTATCTTTCATTAAAACAGTACTTTTGGGATAATCTAATCCACACTTATCTATATATTTAAAACCCTTAAAGACCGTCTGACTGGCCAACCATCTGACCGGCCTACTGGTCGACCAGTAGCTATGACACACACTGACCACCAGGGGGCAGACACTCAATGCAGGAGCTGCCAAGCTGTGGTGACTTGGCAGCTGCAGTTCTCAGGTGACGCACCCAGAACTAGAGAGGAGGGAGCCCGATTCTGGAGTGTGTCACCCGGGAACTACCCTCTCGCAATCCGGGACCCCTCAGGGGATGTCAGAGAGCTGGTTTTGGCTTGATCCCTGCAGGCCAGGCCGAGGGACCCCACCGGTGCACGAATCCATGTACCAGGCCTCTAGTTGTATTATAAAGAAGAAAACAGAGCAATAAAGTGATATGATTATGGTCAGACTTTTGATCTTAGTAGAGCTAATATTGTAGGATAGTTTGAGCATATATTGTAGGAAAGATTCCAAAAGGCACGATACAATGTACAATGATGTTATAGTCTTCCTGTGCTGAAAATTGCTTGTGTGCATTAGTGTGAACGTACTAGCTATTCACATTTTTTATTTTTAAAATAAAATTTTTAATATAGGTTTTTATTGATTTTTAGAGAGAGAGGAAGGAAGAGGGATAGAGAGATAGAAACATCGATGAGAGAGAAACGTCATCGATCAGCTCCCTCCTGTACACTCCTTACTGGGGATTGAGCCCGAAACTCAGGCATGGGCCCTGATCAGAAATCGAACTGGTGACCTCTTGGGTCATGGGTTGACACTCAACCATTGAGCCACACCAGCTGGGGGCTATTCACATTCTTAATATTTATTTTTGAAAACACTTCAAAATTGTAGGTTTGCAAAATTAATATTAGTTTTTAATTTTTTCTATCTTGTTAGATGTAGTAGTCTGTTAGTTGTCCCTCAACATCTTTTCATCCCTTTAACCCACAGTAATAGCAACCCTGAATTTTTACTGGACCATGACCACCAAGAATAAAGACTATGCTCCCAGCTTCTTTTGCAGCTATGTGTGGTCATAGAATTATACTCTGGATGTAACCAGAATTGTTGTATGCAACATTTGGGAAATATTCTTAAACTGTGGGGCTGTACCCTTTCCTCTTTTCTCCTTCCTGCTGACTGGAATGTAGTTGGAGCTCTAGGAGCTATCTTGGACAATGAGGTAATCTTGAGAATGGAATGCTCACATGGTAAAGCAAGAAGACAGGAGACTGGATTCCTAACACCATGGAGCACCATACCAACTGTGGACTTATGAAAGACAAACTTTCTATCTTGTTCATTATTTTAGTTTATTTTTTTCCTGTTATTTGTAGCTGATCCAGATCCCAATTCATAATCCCTGACCTGGCCACCTTGATTGCTAATGTTGATGCAGACCTAACTGGGTTGGGTGATATGAGCCCAACTGCCACATATAAGGCAGGGAGGGGCAAGTGTATGTCATAACCTTGAGATGAAGTCCTCAAGTACACAGCAGACCACTACTACCAGTCAGTCTAGAGCTTACCTAAGTGATAACCCCAGCCAATCAACAAGATTCATAGACTTTGATATATATTATTGATTTCAGAGAGGAAGGGAGAGGGAGAGAGAGATAGAAACATCAATGATGAGAGAGAATCATTGATTTGCTGCCTTCTGCACACCTCCTCACTGGGGATTGAGCCTGCAACCTGGGCATGTGCCCTCACCAGGAATCGAATCATGACATCCAGTTCATAAGTGCAATGCTCAACCACTGAGCCACACCAGCCAGGCTAGACTTTGCTTTTTAAATGTGGGATAGAGATAATGATGGTCTTTTTGTTTAAAAGATTTAGCCTATTTCTCCTCTTTCAAACCTTATCTCTGGACTGGGTTTTCTGCTTGCCAGCGTAACTTTTACACTCCATACTCAATTTTTGGTCTTTAATGGTTTACTTTTATTAACACTATTCATTTTTAAAAATATTAAATTGTTTTTTAAAAATATATTTTTATTTATTCAGAGAGAAAGGGAGAGGGAGAGATAGAAACAATGATGAGAGAATCATTGATTGACTGCCTCCTGCAGGCCCCTACTGGGGATCAAGTCCCCAACCCGGGCATGTGTCCTGACTAGGAGTCGAATCGTGACCTCCTGGTTTATAGTTCGATGCTCAAGTAGTGAGGCACACCAGCTGGGTAATATTAAATTGTTTTAAAAGCTTTAATGATATGGTCTATGAGAAAGCTATCTTTTATATCTCTGATGAAATTGCTAAGGAAAATATATTTCTAGTATTCCTCACATATGAAAAAAAGAAACAATTATTATCCTTTGAGAATAATATGTCAATGCCTTACAACTGTGGTAGTTATATTCACATGGACCCACAAACAATTACTTACCAAAGTATTTACATTTTCTGAAAGACTCAAATATTTTAAAAATTATATGGATAATAATAGGTAACATTTATTAAGTACTCTCATTTAATCATCCTTATAACCCTACAAAGTAGGTACTATTATTATTATTTTTTTAAATATATTTTATTGATTTTTTACAGAGAGGAAGGGAGAGAGATAGAGAGTTAGAAACATCAATGAGAGAGAAACATCGATTCAGCTGCCTCCTGCACATCTCCTACTGGGGATATGCCCGCAACCAAGGTACATGCCCTTGACCGGAATCGAACCTGGGACCTTTCAGTCCGCAGGCCGACGCTCTGTCCACTGAGCCAAACTGATTTCGGCAGTAGGTACTATTATTAATAATGAAGAAACTGAAGCATAGTCAAAAGTCATTAAGTATTAAATAATGGAACTGAGATTCAAACCCTCAGAGCTTCTGCCCTAGGCTTTCTTTTATTTTTTTTTGGTAGGGTGTGGAGGGTGGTATATAACTTTTTAATTTCTCAAAGTGCTTTTGTATTTACTTTATTAGACATAAAGTAGAGAATATAGATTATCTAGATAATTAGAAGAGTGCCTCTTGCCTCAGTTATTCAGACTCTTGAGACATATTTCCTACTAAATTAGTGTTAATTTAGTTAATTGCTGAATATTATCTTGCATGTATAGAAATAAACCATAAAACTAAGGAAAATGTGGTATATATGCATATTTACACACATAGTTTTAGATAGAGCTTACTGTTAGGTCTGAGCAACTAATTAAATCAACACCTCCTCCCTGGGGACTGACCTTTAGACCACTTCACAACCGACATTCCCTTTGGCTTAGAACATATTCCACTTGCTAAGACCACATTCCATTTGCTAAGACCTTTATCTTTCCCCTCAGGACTCGCCCAGAGAATTCCTCGCCCGGAAAAAGCCTGCCTAGAGTCCTTTAAGACTGCTGACTCCCCATCCCTGGGTGCTGGCGCCATTGGGGGGCTCAGCCCATCTGGTTTTCCAGATGACCTCGTAAATTCGTAATTCTTTAGCCCTTTCGGCCTCGAGTTCCTCCTTGGGCGACCTTAACACTTACAATCTATTTTATCTTATTATTTCACACACTTGATTTATTCTTTTATAATTTTAATAAAATATTTCAAGCTACAGAAAAACAGAATAATGTTGGAAGCACTTCTCATGTTCTTGGTTTGTCAAATCTTGATCCTATATTTGCTGCAGTAACTGTTTTTTTTTTTTTTAGTTTTTTGAATAGTTAATACATTTATATGTTTAAAAAGAGTACAGAGTTAGGTCCCCATCTCACCCTGTCCCATATGCCCAGTTCCCATCCCGACAGGTGTTATATATTTATTTCCCCCCAGTTTTGTGTGCCAGTGCGCATATGTATCTAGAAACAAATAGGAATATATTTGGACTCACTTTAAAAAAAACAACATTAAGGCTAACAAATCTTTGACATTCTTCTTGATGTCTACACTCCTACCACTAACTCTTCATCGCCTCTTTTATCTCAGCTCATTATTCAATAAACGATGCATAAAACTCCACGTTCAAGATATTCTGTTAACTATGGAGAATCGGTAGTTTCTCATCAAACTGTTTTCCTCTACCCTTTCTACTCCATCCACAAGCCAGTTTTCTAAAACACTGAGACCTGTTTCCAAAGTCTAAAATGCCTAGAGCGCAACAAAGGTGGACTTTACGCGAATAAGGAGGTGTAACCCCTCCGAGGAATTCAGAAAGAAGGAAGCTGTGGGGAGGGGAGCAGGGGGAT